CGCTACTGTGAAAGTCTCTAACCTTGGATTCTGAAGGCAGGAGAGTTAACTTGATAAACATCCACAGATGAGCGATAACAGTAATATGTTCCTGTATGAGGGTCAGCTTGCCATGTGTATACATATACCTAAATGTTGAATTCTCAGCTCCGCTAGAGATTGATGAGCCTCTAATACGACGCTCAAACCCGAAGATCATTTTTGAATACCTTTTCGCTGCGGACGGTTGGGCGTGTCAGGCAGTATGAGTGTGTCACCCCGTCAAAGCCGTTCTCTGCCTTCTTGTTGAAGCGCGCATGCGACAAAAAGTGGTAGAAAACGAGTAATACGAACGATATGATACAGTCATATCACTTGCTCGCTTTAACAACTGGTGGAGAACGGGTTTGGCACCGCGCCAAACTCATCCCGCCTGACACGCCCAACCGTCCGCAGCGAACTACACTATAGCGCCAGAGCCTCGGTCATCACCAAAGTCCAGAAATTCATGACATTTCAGAGCTAAAATGGCTGCGCCCTACTGCTCACAACAGCTCAGTCCACTCACCGAAAACCCTAAATCAATAAACACTCATTCGCGTACAGCTCCATAAAACGAACCCAAGAGCTTTCTCATAAGAACTCGCCACTGCTTCGCCCACAACAGGATGGGACGAGAGGGTTATGTATGATCATGCAGCTGGCTATCATCCCCTCTTTTCTTCTCTTGCGATCTACTGCCCTTCACCAAACTTGCAACGGCCTCTGACCTTCCCGAAGGGGTGGGGGATCCTTTTTGCTTCTGAGGAAAATGTTCCCGAGCGGAAAAAAACGTGTTAATCCGTAGTAGAAAAGAAAATCGTAGTTTTCACGAATAACGACAGCTGTCGCGAGCAATGGCAATTCCCACAGTTATGAATCGGCTCGCTAACTTACATTTTGCTCCCCTCCCAAGTCGTCACAAGTGGTCTTATCCTTCACATTGCTTGTATATGATGTTGAACCCGTCGCATAAATCGCTAACCATTCCACAAAGAAACGGATTGGATTACGGTATCCAGCAGAAACATATGTTGATTTGCCCGCAAAAAACCCTAAAGAGAGAAATGTTGGCCTGGAAAAAAAGGATGCAATCCTCTCAGAAATAGCTCTCACCTGAAGATGGTTTCAGACGATCTCCATTGAGCCGCTTGAAAAAATCGCATGAAAACCAATCAGGAGAATCGATGAAGCATTCGAAAAGCGTAGTTATCTAGAAGTCAGACGAATAAAAAGAAGACATAATTGGGTTCGGTCTCGAAAAGGAACTGTGTACCTACCGTAAGCAGTAGGATCACATTCAGTAAAAGTACTAAGCAACTCACAAACTCCTTATCCACTTGTAGCGCCATCTTTTTGACGAAATTCTCCTAAACGCACAATGGTCCCCGAGCAAGCTCGTAACAAGCGCTAGAGCCGCAACGTCAACTCGATATCGCTGCAGGAGTGCTGAGTTGAATTCCCACTGAGGCATCGATCAAAAGCATCGAGTTGAATACGACTAAAAACTATATTCATGTCAATAGTGGGTGTAGGATAGAAACCGAAAGTCGATTTCTGCCCGTTCCCTTTAGATGATAAGCTTGGCATATCTACTTTAAGATCTGGATAATAGTAACCGCTTTGTGTGCGAATTAGACCCTACAAAGTCTCGCATGAAACGGCCAGCGCACGAGCGCATGTTTTTGTACTTCAGGCGACCGCTATCAATCGATCAACCAAGTAAGGGGGGGGTGACCCTCGCCCAGTGTCCTGTTCCACAGCGCGTAAGCTAGCGAGGTCACCTGCTATACAGTGGTTATCACTGAAGCCAGTGGGGCAGGATTGTTGCGGGCTCGGTCATTAAACGAGTGCTGGTCTAACGACAGGCCCGCGATTGACTTCAGCGATGAAGACTGTACTGTGCTGCCTATGCATTTACAGAGCGATCCGCGCTTCATCTTCATCCTACTGGGTAAGTGTAAAAGCGGCGTACGGTGCATGTTGAACCCGCACCAGGATCTAGTTGACTTGAGAAGAATGCTTTTCAGTGTGTCAGTCAGTCAGCTAGGAAATTAGCCATTTTCTTGCGCCATCGCAACGCGGATCTCATGAAATAAGCCCCAAGCCTCACGTCGTCGAATAAGGTGTGAATCCGTAGCCGCGTGCCGGTAGCATTATTCTATCCCAAACACTTCTGTGAGTCGGTTGTCTCTTACTGAATAATCCTTATTGTGTCAGAATGCGCAGAATGCATGCTACATTTGTAATGAACTCGGGCTAGTAACCCAAGTAAAAGCCTACCCATATTCGTACTTTTCTCGGAATGGAGCCAAAACTATGCCACGAATCGAAGATGCGATCCGAAAGAACGGATGCCAGCTCGATGGCGGCATACGGGAACTCTCTGTCGGAGGAACCAACGAACCACCTGCTGCAATCGCTCCCGCCGATAACGAATCCAGTACCTCTTTGAGCTGAAGAAATAAGTTTAACTAAGCGGTTTAGCCCGCAAATGAATGAAATCCAGAAAGTAAGAAGCAGAAACGCAGTATAACAGCTAAAAAGACCTATCATGTAGAAAAGAAATTAACACTCTTCCAATCCGTCCCGCTGAAATTGTCCTCCATCGGCGTGTCCATACAGTTTAACTCCATCACCAGTTCCCAGTTGCTGCACTTCAATAATAGCCTCAAGCTGCGAAGAAAGAACTGGATCGAGTTGCGCTTTGAATTTACTGGATAACTTCCGTGGAAATTCTCCTTTCCTAAACAACAACAACAGCTCTGAATACATTTCAGTCTTCTCCAAAACTTTGTAGTCTCACATCATGTCGTAAGCGGCGTCGCTGCTTCCGATATAGTCGAACGATTCCTTGAAGAAATGGATCATACATTTATTTTACTGGTCAAACGGTGCATAGGAAGTGTTCGACTGAGAGGGGTATTCTGCACTTTCGCTAGATCCTTTTGCTGACAAGTAAATACTTGTCAAGTATAAATGAAGCTCCTGCCACTGCGTGACTTCACAGGATTTCGCAGATCTCCCCAAGAACCATCGCCAGTGATCGCTAGGAACCAGGAAAACACTCCCTCCAAGCCGACCGCACCTGCATAGGTTGTGAAACTTACCCCATCAAAGAACGGCGACGATAACGTGACGGTTCGGAGGCGTTAGCCGCCTTCTCAAAAATATCCGCATGCATTCCTATCGTCCTTGCTGCTGCCAAGAGGGCAATAACCGAAGTGACAACGCTAATTTCTCCAGGAGATATCTCAGGAATGAGTCCGAAACTGTCAAGCTGGAAGCAAAATGATTCAATCAAAAGCAATACCCGCGATAAGATCAGATTATTCTGGGAAATGGGGCTCAGTCAGGAATGCCAAGATGCCGAGAAATCCCGAACAAGAAACAAAAGAGAAATCGTCGCTGATGCCCCCAAATAAGACGCCTTGGCGAGCGCACGTACGAGCAGAGGGCGAGCAAAGTGCGTGGTCGGACGAGGTTACCAGGCAGTTGTGTAGCGGCCGATATGGTCACCGCAAATGATCCCAGCTGGTTTCTTATTGACAATAGTGTCCCTGCCCACATGCCCACTACGGCTTGGTAGAGCGCTGGGAGGGGATAATGAATGTGGGTGGAGTCAGTGAAAGGAACTACGGCATGGGTGTCCCAGCCATTTGCTTTTGTGCCGCGAAAGTGGTACAACTGCTACTACTACGGACCAAGCTACCTGCTCGCGGAGAGAGAGCAACTTCACAAAACGCGGAATCTGCCTTTAAGGCCATGAAAAGGACAAACGTCTGATGGAACCCAAATATGTCTGTCAGAATTGGACAAGCTGAGTAAAACCTGACATAAACTTACCCTCGCAGAGAGCATAAGATATCTAGCAGTATGAGCAGGAGCAGATTCCTTGTACACCTTAGGAGGTAGATAAGAAAGAATGTTGACACCAACCAAAGGACTACATAAATCACTGAAACAATGGTTATGTTTTCCTGACTAAAACATGGCTCTGTGGACAAGAAATTCACGTTCACGCACCAAAATCGTAATAGTAAACGTACTCTCTATTCTCAATACTCAGATCAAGTAAACGTGACCAGGGTTTGCTTCGTCGATAGCAAATTTCAGTAGAGCCGGCTGCCGTGCTGAACACTCCAAAAGAAGCGGCACAGAGTGGAAAAGACACAGAAGCTGAGCCATTCTTTGGTACGTTATACAGGTCATGGCACTGAAAAAAGACCATATAGCTTTTGGAACCGTAAAGAATAAAAGAAAAAACATCCTGGCAAAATTTGAGCGCTGAAGTCGTTGATGGGGGCCAAGCGGCGGCGCGACAGTACGCCCCACTGCACCACGATGACGATTTGCTTGGGGTGATTAGCTACCGCTCCGTTGCTCCAGCAGCATGCCATTACATTAGTAAAATCCAAGGAATGCATAGAGGTGGCTGTCGTATCGACTTGGAGCCGTGAAACCACTGGGCCCGAGGAACTCGTCCAATCAGATGGGGCTATTTAGAGTTTCCGACCGTTTCTTTTGCTTTATCTGCAGATCTGCAATCTCTAATAAACCACTGAGTACCACTTTCCTTTTTAAGTCACACTCCCAAGGATTCGTAGTCTCACGGTGTCTTTCAAGAACGCTGTCTAGCAGGATCGGCATGGCTTAGTGAAACTCTACCCCCCCCCCCGTTCCTCGCATCGGAAAAATAGCTGCGGAAATCGGATACATCAAAAATAGCTTGCCTTTTTGATCGTATCCACGTGAGTTTTATTATACACGTATAAAATCTGCATTTTCCAATCAATATTGCGTAATCCATCCGGTAACACAAAACCTCGATCATTCCATGCATATGAAGCGGAGCATTCGTCTCCATATACATCTGAATCGGCTTTCATTAGAAGTTGCGGCACAGTTCGACGTTGGGGGAGGAGTATTTTGCACTTTCGCTACTTCCAGTCGTGTCCAGAGATGGAGTAGAGAAGAAGTAATACCAGCCAAATTTTGTAGTGAAAAATAGTCAAGTCTTGGAAATGTTACTTGTCAGTTCCTGCAAAGCAATGAACGGGACGATGGGGAATAGCGAAAATGCCGACTCACCGCCCCGACTCCCCCCCCCCCCCGAGCCACTGTGCACGATTGCATTCAGTGCAAGCATTCACTCACCGCTGTGACGATTCGGACATATTCCATCATGAGAAAGAGATTCTGTAGGCTCAATATTCGTTTCGGGATCATAAACAATTAAGCCAGCTATACATTTTGATTCCAGAATTTCTTGCACCACAAAACTGAATCAACATATTTCCGTGATAACTTCATAATTTTTCCGAACAAATCAACTCCGCTGGATCATTAAGGATGTCCGAAACATACCGATCGAGCATGTCAGTAGATAATAAAATATGATATTTCCCGAAGTAGTTCTGAAATCGGATTCGCCAACAATCGCGCAGTCCTGCTCTTTCCCCTCGATTCAATTTGACTACAACACCACGTGAATCGGCTTTCGAACCTGTAAAAGCGATAAAAGAAGCAAAGACAATCATTTAAGAAAGAAGCAATGGTAACCTACTGTGAAAACCGAACTGATGCGTCCCATTGAACAAGCGATACCCAGCTATCCCTTCTGTTACCGGAATCGTAATGTAGATATCATCAGAAAGACCCTCTCCCGCGCTTTTTGGGAAAACTGAAAATAACAATTGGAGAACGGTTCAAAAAGTAACACGATTACTGCCAGCTTTTCTCCTTTTCCTTGTAAACTCGGCGTGATATTCTCAATCGCTTGTTCTCCCATTTTGCGTCTTACGAGGTTGTTACACCGAACATTCGCCAATAAAGAATTAAATTTCGACTAAATCGTTCTCTCCAGAGACCAATGGTCCCACGGTTTAGGAAGAATCCGTACGACAGCGCTAGTCGTCGCAAGTTAATTCGCGCGCAGTTGCAGTCGAAACACACCTGACTAGCACTCTCGTAGGGCAGCGGACTCTCCACTCAAACTCATGCGTGGTGGAAACATCGGCCTCTGAAGGCTATTATTTAGCGAAAGTTCAAGCTCTGTTGATTAAACGTCCCAAATAACAACCTCGTAAGGCATAGAACAAGAAAATAAACAGGACTATCGAAAACTGAGGAACTGCGGAGTGTCTGTCATCGTCACCGATGATGCCCCTCGACCCCGACCTTATTGGCAGGGCTGAATCGTACTTAGGAAAACAGGCGCTTCTTGAGGTTGTTGGGCACTCTTCGTTCTGCGTTCACCAGATAAAGTCTTGTGGCTCTCTCTCTCTCTCTCTCTCTCTCTCTCTCTTATAACAATAAACTGGACTACCGAGTTATTCGGCGTAAAGGGTTAAATTAACCCTAAGTCTCATAGCACCCACAAAAGTGTAGGTATCTTTGTTAGGATTTCCTTATCTGTTTCAGGGGACTTTCTCATTTAGCTCCTTTGATTGTGTTGAAAGTAGCCTACTATGAATGGGCGCTTGAACGGGTAAATGACTAAGAAGCGTTAACTAGAGCTACGATTCTTTGGCTAAGAACTGCTGTGAGTGTTGAGTTCCTGTTCCCCTGGCTCCTGAGCGGACCATTTGCCTTTAGGCGTGGAGTACTGCTAGCCTGGCCACGCGGCGCAGTTGCTGTGCGGGGACGGGCGGGGCAGCCCTTATGTTGACCCCTCTTGGTTACGGACGGAATAAGGGTGTAAAACGAGAAATCAAGTATGGATGTTGTGTCCTCAAAGTCGGTAATGCGCCATTGCACAGTTCAGTCCACTTTATGAATTACAAAACTCACCGTAGCACAATAAGATGAGGAATAGCAAGACCATAGTGATAGGGACTAGCGAGCTGCGACGACTAGTACATTCTTAAAAACGATCCTCAGTGAGTCCTCCAGAAAAAGAACATTGCCTGTTCCGCGGATGCAAGGGCGTGTCAGCGGGGCTGCGTTTGACGCACCGCCAACTCGGTCGATTTTCAACCAATTTATGGTCGTTGCCGGCTCTCACAATTGGTGGGGAACAGATAGGCGCTGCGCCAAACCCAGCCCGTTGATATGCCTCAGCATCCACAGCGATCAAGACTGCAGGTCAAGGTGATTGAAGATTCAACACACTTCCACAATAATAATAGATGCTTGCACATAGAACAAGTGCCAAGTTAAGGAAAAAAATGCAGTTTGATATAAAACTTATTTATTCCAGAGCAATATAAAACCACCGCCTGTAACAAAAACAATCTAACGACAACATTACAGAATACCTAGCATAACATGAAACTCAACATCCCATTTCTATAACAATTCAGCTTGACTAGGTAAGCAATTTGATCTATTGCAAAGAGCCGTTCCCCAAATTATTTCGGTTTATACTCCTGCCCGGTCTTTTCTTTGTAGAGCTTCTTCAATTCTAGAAGTTTCTGGATGGCAGCCTTGGAAGCATCCTCAAAGAATACGTGATTTTGGCACGTTTGAAAAATGACACATGAAACCTATTCTGGAGCAGAACGGAAAAAACTTACGGATTTAGCATCCTTCTGCTTCTCTTGGCGTACTAGATCACCCTGAGCCTGTATCTCATTGTAAAGCGCGGAGGCATCAAATGCTGCCTCTTGTGGCTGTGACGGACTTGTAACAGGGGGTTGTCCTGGTTTATGAGGATGACCAGTGATCTGCTCATATTGCTTCTTCAACTCCAGCAGTTTGGCAATAGCGGCCTTGGCAGCATCCTGAAGGCAGCAATAGCTCATTGCAAAATGTTAAAATCAGAACCAAAATGATCGACCCAGCTGTGAAGCCAGGATTCTGACGCCGAAAAAATAAGCCTGACTAAGCGACCAAGCACTCGTTTAAAGAAACACTCCGACGGCAAGCGCTAAGACCGCGTTCATACTTCTCGGCGGCGTTTCGAGCGGAAAGTAAAGGTACCGGCCTAGCGTGTTTAGCGCTTTGGGAGAAACTCCATCATTTCAATAGGATAGTATCAGTATCGATCGGCGCTCAAAACGTCCGAAGTGAAACTGCTGACGTGAAGTATGAACGCAGCCTCATTTAGTTGGTGAGTGTCACTCGGCCTAAGTCCATTCCCCTAACAAAAGCTTACGCTCGGAGTGCACCAGATTCGGAAAGACATAGTTTCGCGGAGAAGACATATTCTTCACTGAGCCTGAGCTTTGTTTAGACAACCGAGTAGCACCGTCAAAGGTCGCGTTAGCATGCCAAGATTAAAAAAAAGTCGACCATTGATAGGATGCAAATTCGTCTATATCTATCAAACCTGTAAGTAATTTGAAAACAATGAAGCAGAACTTGCCGATTTGGCGTCCTTAGCCTTTTCCTTTCGAACAAGGTCTCCCTGAGCTTCGATCTCCGAGTAAAGCGCCAGTGCATCAGTACTGCTAGGGGGTGAAGAGGATGCAGCAGGAACAGGCTGCTGGCCAGGCTTGTACTCCTGACCAGTTTGCTCTTTGTACTGTTTCTTCAACTCAAGTAGCTTCGCGATGGCGGCTTTAGAAGCTTCCTGAAATAAAGATACGATAGATGTACTTCAGTTGAAAACCATATTTAAAAAAACTCAATATTCACAATACCTAATAATAAGCATGACTGTGGAGCTATTGAGCCAGCGATAACGATAATGAAGCGACTCACCGATTTGGCATCTTTGGCTTTTTCTGCCCGCACAAGTTCACCCTGTGCCTCAATTTGGGAATACAGAGCAGTAACATCAATCGCGCGCTTCGGGCAGAAGCCGACGGTGCAGCAGTGGGCTTTTGCCCAGGTTTATACTCTTGTCCAGTTTTCTCCTTATACTTGTTCTTCAACTCCAGCAGCTTCGCTATGGCCGCTTTGGAAGCCTCCTGAAAATGTGGAGGTAAAGTCATGCTCACCGAGTGTCGATGCTTACAGGCATGCGAAGCAGGAGCTTACGGTGAAACGTACCGACTTGGCATCTTTGGCCTTTTCGTTTCTGACAAGCTCGCCTTGGGCCTCTATTTCAGCATACAGAGCCGATACATCACCAACGGCATCACAAGTAGCATTGGTAGAAGATGGCTCGCTCGTAGGAGGTTGGCCAGGCTTGTACTCCTGACCGGTCTTTTCTTTGTACTCCTTTTTGAGCTCCAACAGGGTCGCTATTGCCGCTTTTGACGCCTCCTCAAAATCCACCGTAATTTAACAAAATTTTAGACTTATTTCCATAATAATGATCATTTTTGTACTATATTTGCCCTAAGCAAACAGGGGGCTTATTCTCGCATTTTGTTTCCCGAACAAAACAACAAGTTGCCCTGATAGAACTGTTTGACAACTCACCGATTTAGCGTCCTTCGCCTTTTCATTTCGAACGAGCTCTCCCTTGCGCTTCAATTTTCTGATAGAGAGCGAGGGCATCGTTCGCGTCCGATGCAGGCGCCTTAGGCGTTGACTCTGGAGGTTGTCCTGGTTTGTATTCCTGACCAGTTGCCTCTTTATATTGCTTCTTCAATTCAAGCAACTTTTGAACAGCTAATTTTGTGGATTCAGCCTAAAATAGAAAGTTACCAGCGACCTGTAACAATCACATGGGAAATTAAGAAAACGATGTCAGAACACGCGCAAAAGAATCGATAAGAGAGATGAAGAAGGAGTCAGAAATGGGCGGTATTCGGTTTAGAGTAGACATTTTGCACCTTCGCTGCTTCCTCTTTGGTTCATGCTAACTAACAACTATCACATTGACGGGACCTGTAAACTGTTGTAAACTGGGAAATGGTGCGAGTGAGCCAGTTTGGTCACAGGAATTCACAGGTATTCATAAAGTGGTCTGTACAAGCTTAGCTAGGTACCATGAGGTGCCCTCACTTAACCGAACGGAGCCTAACAAATGTTCCAGGATTCCCGGAATCAAATGAAAATTTAGTTGAATAACCAAGTGTGTATTTGGCGCTTACCTTCGGGTCCTTAGCTTTGAGATCACGCACTGTATTTCCCTGTGCTTCAATTGCTTTATACAGTTCGAGAGCATTATCCGACTTTCCCACAGCGGTTGGAACTACACTGCTCTGAAATAGCTAATAT